AAATTAAAATAAATCCATATAAAAAATAGATAAATGTGTGTTTTTTTTTTGGTACAATTTGTATTTTTTTATATAATTTAATATTAAAATTATCAAATATCACCAATAAATAAATATACATATAATTTTATTAAAAATATTTAAATAATTTTAGTATTTAAATTAAAAAATACAATGGTAAAAAAAAACACTTTTTTCGAATAAAATAGTTTGTTAAATAAAAAAAATTACTTTAAAACAAATCAAAAATTCCAAACAAACCCTCGAGTCTTTGGCGTCGTCCGTCAATAAAAGCCTCGCTCGCCCTCTGCTAATCAGCGGAAAGAACATCAAAAGTGCTTCTCGAAGAAGTCTGTAGAACCCTTTCTGGCCCCCTCCATCTCTGTTCTTGAAGGTACGATCGCTTTCTCCGGCTTCTGCAATTGCAGCGTATTTTGGTGATATTTGCTCGATTTTGAGTAATAGAAATCGTAGATCTGCAAGTTTCTCTCTAGATTTAGTGCATCGGTGTGCCAAATCTTTGTAGCTGTTGCATTGTTTTTGGATTGTGTTCCGTCTTATGGATTTTGTTGTTTCGACTCATCAGGTCGAGGTTTTTTATGTTGTTTTGGTGAATTGATCCGTCGTTTTATTTTGCTTGGACGAATAATTAAACTGTTTTAGCAACTTTTTGATGTGTTCCATATTTGTTTTCTAAGATTTGATTCTGTTTAGGGCGCATTAAGTTAGAGTCAGGGTTTAATGTGATTTTGATTTGATGTGTACCAGATTCTTTTTTCTTTTTTTTTGTGATAAATACCAGGTTCTGCGTCTCATTTAAGCATTGGGATCTAAGACTTTATTTTTACGGCGTTTTAAAGGATCATTACATCTGACCATGGAGTTGGTTTTTGGAATTTTGGGCTTGGTCTAGTTTGTCTAACCTTTAGCCAGTAAACTAGTTTGATTTTTGTGCATTATTAGAAGATTTGCAGTCTTTCTTTGCCTTGATAGTTTAAACTATTTGTTTAAACACTGACTTTGAACAATTCCATATATAATACACAAATCAAGTGTATTTTATAGGTAGCTACATGCATGCAAACTAGGTTATACGTTGTTTGACTTAGTGTGGGGGGAAGCTAATTGCGATACTTCATATTTTGGAAAACCTTGTTATACTTTTGTGGTGTTGACAATTCTTGCATTAACATATTATGGTAAAACTTTTTATTTTTTCTTTTTTCATATACCTTGGTGCTGTAGGTCTGCAGTATATTCTTCTCTCTTCCCTTTTTTATTTACATTGCTATTTCTTTGTACAGGAGCAGACGTGTTTTCTGTCAAGTAAGTTGGTTTAATTTGAAGTGAAGATGAGCGTGGTTGGGTTTGATTTTGGTAATGAGAGTTGCATTGTTGGTGTTGCAAGACAGAGAGGGATTGATGTTGTGCTTAATGATGAATCAAAACGTGAGACACCAGCTATTGTGTGCTTTGGGGACAAACAGAGATTTATTGGGACTGCAGGGGCTGCATCTACTATGATGAACCCCAAGAACTCTATTTCTCAGATAAAGCGATTAATAGGCAGGCAGTTCTCAGATCCTGAGTTGCAAAAGGATCTCAAGTCATTGCCTTTCAATGTCTCTGAAGGCCCTGATGGTTTCCCCTTGATTCATGCCCGTTATTTAGGTGAAATGAAAACATTTACACCAACCCAAGTTCTGGGGATGGTGTTATCAAACTTGAAAGACATAGCTGGGAAGAACCTGAATGCGGCAGTGGTTGACTGCTGCATTGGAATCCCAGTTTATTTTACTGATCTTCAAAGGAGAGCTGTATTAGATGCAGCCACAATTGCTGGTTTACATCCCCTTCGCTTGATTCATGAAACTACAGCTACAGCATTGGCTTATGGAATTTATAAGACTGATTTACCTGAAAACGACCAATTAAATGTTGCCTTTGTTGATATTGGACATGCAAGCATGCAAGTATGCATTGCTGGTTTTAAGAAGGGCCAGCTCAAGATATTGTCTCACTCATTTGACCGGTCTTTAGGTGGTAGAGATTTTGATGAAGTTCTATTTCAGCATTTTGCTGCGAAATTTAAGGAAGAATACAAGATTGATGTTTTCCAGAATGCAAGGGCATGTCTAAGGCTTCGTGCTGCCTGTGAGAAGCTGAAGAAAGTTCTCAGTGCCAATCCTGAGGCTCCTTTGAACATTGAGTGCTTGATGGATGAGAAAGATGTCAGAGGTTTCATTAAGAGGGAGGATTTTGAACAAATCAGTGTCCCAATTCTGGAACGTGTGAAGAGGCCACTGGAGAAGGCTCTTGAAGATGCTGGGCTTGCGGTTGAGAATGTTCACATGGTTGAGGTAGTTGGTTCTGGCTCTCGTGTGCCTGCCATCATCAAGATTTTGACAGAGTTCTTTGGCAAGGAACCTAGGCGTACAATGAATGCAAGTGAGTGTGTAGCAAGGGGCTGTGCCTTGCAATGTGCAATTCTTAGCCCAACATTTAAAGTTCGTGAGTTTCAGGTAAGGTTCTCAATTTTTGATAATTAATTTTTTGATATGGGTGAATCTGAGGGCTACATGAATTTCTGGCGATTACTTGTTTGCATCTTAATCTTTACAGTTCTGATGATTGCTTAAATAGCTAGTTTCTTTTTGTGGAGCAAGTGTATCATTCATCATTGCTTAACCAGTTATGAGAATACACTCTATCATGAATCACTGAATTCCTTGTTTCCTTTTTCTTAACACTAACATTTTTCTTTAGGCTGAGAGGTTGTTTTGAGTTGGAAAGTGGAGGTTTAGATTTTTCATGCTTCTGTACTGGAGCACCTAAAAGCAGATGCTAGGTTGACAATTGCTAAGATATTCCCTATCTGCATGAATGTCTATAACCTCAAAGAATATATCACTAACCTAGGTTCTAAGTTCTAAATGGATCACTGATGTAATGAGAGAAGGGTGCTGGCATGCTAATCTCTTTGTTTTGCTTTCCCCATGCTGTAAATGTGAGATTTTGTCCTTGTGGTGCTGTGTTATTGGTCGTAAATTAAGTCATGGTATACTATGCATGTGACTCTCTCTCACTTATGATCACTGTTTTGCCATTTTGTTTGAGTTTGATTTTTCATTTGAGGTGTGGTTGATGCCTTCTCTTTCTGCTCATCTGAGTGTATACCTTAATTCCTGTTGCTTGAAGGTCAATGAGAGTTTTCCTTTCCCAATTACTTTGTCTTGGAAAGGATCAGCTCCAGATGCTCAGAATGGAGGAGTTGAACAACACCAATTGGTCTTCCCAAAGGGGAATCCAATTCCCAGTGTCAAGGCCGTGACATTCCATAGAACAAACACATTCACCATTGATGTTCAGTATGCTGATGTGAGTGAACTGCAAGCACCTGCAAAGATAAGTTCATACACGGTAAATAAAACTCATACCATATTGCTAACTTCAAATTTCAAGGTTCAATAATTTTAAGTATGGCATGAAAGTTCCCCGTTTACTATTTTAATTTGAAAAATAATCCACGAGTTTTTGTTAATTGGTAGATTGGTCCTTTCCCAACTATAAGAAGTGAGCAGCCAAAACTGAAGGTCAAAGTTCGCCTGAATTTGCATGGGATTGTGTCTGTTGAGTCAGCAACGGTAAGTTCATGGGATTTTAATTGCACTTAAATGGGTCTTTCTGTGATTTCTTTCTCAACCTCCACTTGTTTTTAGCTCTTAGAGGAAGAGGAAGTTGAAGTTCCAGTCGCAAAAGAGCCGACTAATGAAGCTTCTAAAATGGAGACTGAAGAAGCTACAAGTGATGCTGCTCCTCCAACCAGTGAGCCTGATGTTAACATGCAAGATGCTAAGCCAGCACCTGATGCACCAGAGGTCGAAAATGGTGTTCCTGAGTCTGGTGACAAACCTGTGCAAATGGAGACTGACAGCAAAGTAAGCTTCGATATATGGCATGAAGAACCATCACTATATGTACCCTTGCTCAGCTTTTTATTTTTTGAGTCTTAATGGCTTTCATACTGCATCAGGTTGAAGCTCCAAAGAAGAAGGTAAAGAAAACAAATGTCCCTGTGTCAGAGTTGGTTTATGGTGCACTATTGCCTGCAGATTTACAAAAGGCAGTAGAGAAAGAGTTTGAAATGGCTTTACAAGATAGAGTTATGGAAGAAACTAAGGACAAGAAAAATGCTGTTGAGGCCTATGTCTATGAAATGAGGAATAAGGTAAGAAGCTGTTCAAGGGTGAAATTCTAGCTTTGTTCTAGGATCTTAAAACTGATGGTCTCTCTGCATCTCCAGCTAAGTGACAAATATCACGAATTTGTCACAACTCAGGAGAAGGAGGTGTTTATTGTTAAGCTTCAGGAAGTGGAGGACTGGCTATATGAAGATGGTGAGGACGAAACAAAAGGCGTTTACATTGCCAAGCTTGAGGAACTGAAGAAGGTAGCTTTGCCTCTTTTTTTTTTTGGGGGTTTGGTTCCCTCTTTGAATTTCATTTTTCCTAATCGCTGCTTTACCTCCTCAAAAGTTGAAATAATACTTGCCTTGGAGAAGTTGCATATCTGATTGTTGTTTGAATGATTTCAGCAAGGTGATCCCATTGAAGAACGTTACAAGGAATACACAGAGAGGGGATCTGTCATCGATCAGCTTGTTTATTGTATCAACAGTTATAGAGAGGCAGCCATGTTAAATGATCCCAAATTTGATCACATTGAGTTGGATGAAAAGCAAAAGGTAATGGCTGAATTGTTCCACTCCACTCCCAACAAAATGAACTAGCAAAACTACCCATCCAAATTTCGGTGGAAATTTTCTTACAAATGCTGCATTGTAGGTTCTGAATGAATGTGTGGAAGCTGAGGCCTGGCTAAGAGAGAAAAAACAGCAGCAGGATCAACTTCCCAAGTATGCAACATCAGTTCTCTTGTCAGCTGATGTGAGAAGAAAGGCTGAAGCTTTGGACAGGTACATATATCATCCGACTAAGGTTTTGTTTTGTTGGCTAGTATGCATTTGCATGCTTGGTTTTGTTAATTTATCTCTGTTTTTCCCTCTTAATCTGAATCTACAATTAGTTAGGGTACTGATATTTGAAATTTGTCTTTTAACAGGTTTTGCCGTCCGATAATGACAAAACCAAAACCAGCCAAACCAGTAACGCCTGAAGCACCTGCAACCCCACCTCCTCAGGGAAGTGAGGCACAGCAACAGGGTACCGATGCCAATGCTAATGCGAATGCTAGCCCCAACCATAGTGAGAATGTGCCAGAAGACGGCACCGGTGCACCTCCAGCTTCTGCAGAACCTATGGAAACAGATAAGTCGGAAACTACTAGTACTGCATAATTCATTATGCACTGGTATGCTTTTGCCTCGACATCCAGTTAAGAATCTGGTTCCTATGTATACGAACTGTTTTTTAGAGGAGCCTGAGACCATTTCTTTGTCAGGCTGACATGAGAGGCTGTGTTGTTTGGTTACTTTTATTTTCAATTTGTAAAGCCCTTTGATTTGGGTCATCTTCCAAAACTTCTACCATTATTAAGATTGTCCCTAGCATATGGTGTTCGGAAGAGGTTTTTTAAGAGTAAAGATTGCTAGGGTTCCTTGCAACGTTTTTCGGTTGGTTGAGGGACCAAATTTCATTCTGAAGGATATGTGTTTATTTCATTAATATTGGTAGGATTTTATTTATTTATTTGAATTAGGATCTTTCAAATAACTTTTGTTTCTTCATAAAATGTTGTTCATGCCTGCTATTTCTTTTTGGGACAAAACAGTTCATAGTGGGAATGCCAAGGTATTCGCATGATTTTATACTCACATTGAGTCAGCTCGTGAGCCTCGTCCCATATCTAATCCACCTAATTGACGAGATTTGTATCTGGAAGAGATTTATGTAAATGCTTCTCGTTAATGCTTCCACAATCTTACGAGTAAGGAATGTAGAATGATGGGCATTGTTCATTAATCTAATTTTTACTTGGACATGTATTGATGTAAGAATACCATGGCATTGCTAAGACCAGATGCCCCAAAGTGAGCTATGAAGAAGATGCTTGCAAAGACGAAGAATTCAAAAAAGTATACTTGCAAAGATGAAGAATTCAAAAAGGTAAGCCAAGCATCGTGTCTAACTCTACTACCGTTCTTGGTTGTCCTGGCCAAGCCAGTTTGTGCACCGCCTCTTACTATGCTACTGTTCTTGGTCAAGCCGGTATGTTTGACGAGGCTGCAAGACATACGAAACTGATGAAAGCAAAAAGTCTAAAGGCAGTTGGCAAGATTGAAGAAGATCATATTATTAGCACTCTGGAACAGGTTTTCTCGACTTTCTGGCGGTAGGGGCAGACATCTTAACATATATTGACATCGTTGTGCTGTAAGTTTGAAAAGCTTACCATATAATTTTCATGACAGTACAATGACACTCCAATCAAGGCCTGACGGCCAAAAAAAAAATAAATAAAGAAATAAATAAATCAAAGCCTACAGGCTAGAGGTTGTTTGGTTCTGGGAAAAGTGTCCATCCTTTTACAGAATGTCTTTGCAAGACCTAGAAGTATCTCCTCTACTAGTATGCAGGGACCTGAGATTCCAAGGTGTAGTCCTTTTAAGTTATATCTGTACAGGATTATGTTAATAATTCTGAGTTTTGGGTAGCATCAAAGAATAAATGTGGCTTCCTGGAGTGTTTACAGCAAGACAAGATTTTCAAACAGAATTTTTCATTTTTGGATGTTCCCCTGGATGAGGGGCTGCCACAAATGCCAGAAGGTGCGTTTTGCATTTTTGGCAACACAGCCGATCGCGCAAAATAGATCACGTAATGGTAACACACACCCGTCTGCGGGCATACACGTGGCACACGCCCCTGCATGCATGCACATACACACACGTATATATATATAAAGAGAGAGGAACAAGATCCACATAAACTGTGGGGGAAACTGGTAGTAATGATCTCTTCTAAATTGAGTTTTAACTCTTCTACCATAAGTGATACATCTAAGAGTTATTGCTCAACAGATAAAAGTGGCCGAAGGCCTGAATATTATATGACACAACAACATTTAGCACTCATGAGTCAACATCAAATTATCACTAGAGAGGACAATCCCGTTGCAGGCATCACCCACTGATATTCTCAGCAGAAATATCATTCTCCTCATCATCACCAAGCTGAATTTTCACAATCTCAGCCTGTGCTCTCTCCATGATCTGTCTCTTCTGCATTTCTAGCTCCCTATGGAAATCCATTCTCATCTTCTCTAGTTCCAACATCTGCTGCCTTTTGCTATTCTCAATCTTCTCATATATCTCGCTAAACTTTTGAATAGAATCTGCAAGCAATCTGAGGGAAGATCCCTCGTCAGAATGCTTACCAAACTTTCTCTTCTTGGGTGGCAGTCCATCTGAATCATCCTCCTCACCATCAGCAGATTTAGAGTCAGCTGGACTATCCCTCATCTCATCCAATCCATTTGCACGGTTTAAATAAACCCTAGGGTTCATGAAGACATACTCTCCTGAGTCCATTCCACAGGAGAGTCCCCCCTGCATTGGAGGTGTTGACATTAACATATCCATCTTCTTGAAATAAATCCATTTGCTAGTGCTAGCACCCATCCCTGGCAAGTTATTCTTCTCCTTCTTAAACTTCTTTTTCAATGTATCTAATCGATTCCTACATTGGGTGTCCGTCCTTTCAATCTTTGAGACCTCTGACACCTTCTCTGCAACTTCTTGCCATTCATCAGATCGTAGACTCTTCCTCCCACGTTGTAGAAATCGCTCACCCCAAGCATCAAGCAAAACAAATGTCTCACGCTCAGTCCAATCTGTAAGTGAATTCCTTCCACCAGATGACTTTGACACAGATGGAGCTGCAACTGCTTGTGCTGGTACTCGAGGAACAAATTCATAACTTGATACCAAGCTCTTTAGCTTCCTTTTCTTAGGGTGCCTTTCAAAATCAGCATCATCTGTCCTCTTTAAACCTTTCCGCTTATCCCCATCCTCATCCTGCTCTTCCTCCTCCACATCCTCATCGTCATCATCATCCTCATCG